CCGTGCGTGTGGCCGGGCGTGGTCTGGGTGGTGAGTGGGGGGGGGGGGGGGGGTTAGGCCCTTAGCAGGCCTCTGGCCAGCTGGATTCAGGGCTGTCACCTCCCTGTGTGACCTTGACATCGCTGCATGCCTCAGTTTCCCTTGGGGGTAGGGCTTGTTTCAGGGTGTGCATCCCTGCAGCGCCCGGCCTGACAGGGCCCCGTAAACGCCCGTCATGGCAGCTCCAAAGCACAGCCCCACCTCTGCCGATTCCACCCCTCCCTTCGTGGTCAGGGCCAGAGCCAGGCACGGAGGGGAAGTGGCTGGCCCACGGGGGGCAACTGAGGGTGCCAGGGACATGCCCTCAGTCTGTCTGCTCAAGCAGCCTGTCGGGGGGGGGCCTGAGAAACAGAGCCAGTGGAAGCTGTGTCCCCGTCCCGGCCACAGAGATGGCCTGAGCTTGGAGCTGGTGCCCCCTATGGGGAAAAGCCCCGTGTCCCAGTCTCTGGGCTGTCGAGCCAGGCAGGCCCCCGCCCTGAGCAGTGCTCCCTTTAACTCGCTCCCATTCATGTGCGGAATAAGTGTTGTTCTGCGCACCGAGGCATGTGTGAGAGCCAGTGGAAGCTGTGTCCCCGTCCCGGCCACAGAGATGGCCTGAGCTTGGAGCTGGTGCCCCCTATGGGGAAAAGCCCCGTGTCCCAGTCTCTGGGCTGTCGAGCCAGGCAGGCCCCCGCCCTGAGCAGTGCTCCCTTTAACTCGCTCCCATTCATGTGCGGAATAAGTGTTGTTCTGCGCACCGAGGCATGTGTGGATGTGCACCACCCACAGACCCACTTGCGGCTGTCTCGTAGCCGGAAGTGACCGGCGCTGGTTCTTCCCAGGCCTCCTCCCCGGCAGAGCTGCTGGGCCCCAGTTCCTCGGGCCGGGCGCTGCCCCCGCTGCCATGGGGAAGGGGGGGCAGGGGAGACTCCAGCTGAGGCAGAGTGGAGTAGTCCTGGGTCCCGGGATCCGCAGGCTCCTCAATATCCAGCAGGGTGAGGGGCGGCTCCTGCCGGAAGTGACCGGCGCTGGTTCTTCCCAGGCCTCCTCCCCGGCAGAGCTGCTGGGCCCCAGTTCCTCGGGCCGGGCGCTGCCCCCGCTGCCATGGGGAAGGGGGGGCAGGGGAGACTCCAGCTGAGGCAGAGTGGAGTAGTCCTGGGTCCCGGGATCCGCAGGCTCCTCAATATCCAGCAGGGTGAGGGGCGGCTCCTCCAGGTCTGGGCCCGGGGCCAGCCGGAGGCAGAGTGGAGTAGTCCTGGGTCCCGGGATCCGCAGGCTCCTCAATATCCAGCAGGGTGAGGGGCGGCTCCTCCAGGTCTGGGCCCGGAGCCAACGGGCCCTGGTATCTGTAGGGATCCTGGAGGAAACAGCATGAGAGCAGCCGGCTCGCACCCTAGCAGCAAGAGCTGCTACAAGAGGAGTCTTGGCCCCCCT